CTTGCTCTGTTGCCCAGGCTGGAGTGCAATGGCAGGAGCTGGGATCACTGCAACCTCTGCCTCTGGAGTTCAAGCAATTCTCCTGCCTCAGCCTCCCTAGTAGCTGGGATTACAGGCCCCTGCCACCACTCCCATCTAATTTTTGTACTGTTAGTAAAGGGAGGGTTTCACCATGTTGGCCAGGCAGGTCAGGAACTCCTGACCTCAGGCAATCCACCTGCCTCAGCCTCCCAAAGTGCTGTGATTACAGTTGTGAGCCACTGCACTTGGTCCAAAGACCACTCGAGTCGCCTTACCACATTTAATTTAAAAACACCTTTGACATTAAGAAAGTAAAAGAGACTATTAATACAAGTTCAGGAGCAGTGGCTCATACCTGTTACCCCAGCACTCTGTGAGACCAAGGTGGGAGGATCGCTTGAGCTCAGGGATCAAGACCAGCCTGGGCAACATAGTGAGACCCCATCTCTATTTTTAAAAAATTAAAAAAAAAAAAAAAAGACAAAAAACAAGTTGAGAGCGTTTACACAAGATTCATTAGCTACACTGATCAATTTCAAAATAAAGTCAAGAAGGAGAAAAGCCAGGGAAAAGAGATTCGGACAACGATCAATCATTATAGTCTCAGTTCGTGTTGCACTCTTCCGTAACGGCATTAAAGTTTCTATCACAGATGCCTTATGGACTTCAAGACAGGATAAAACAAAACTAAATACCCTTTTCAACCTACTGATTTCTTTTCGGCCTGAGAAGGTCCGGGCGATCCAAAGCCCCCCGGGGACTGCGTGTAGCCGCCAGCTCCCCCGTAGTTGGAGCTGCCAAAGCTTTCGAATCCACCTGTTTTGAACAACAGGATTAGTGCCTGTGCCACTTCACAAGCCTTGGAGAAACTCGCAGGCTCCCCGAGGCTTAGCCCCTCCAAACACTGATCGCGTCCCCCTAACCTTCCTCTTCGCCTTCCTGGGACCCCCAAACTCCCCAGCTCCGTTCTCACCCCTCCCCTCCCGCTGTCACAAGCCTCTCGGACCCTAGGCTCGCCCTCTTGCTAAAATTTCCTGCGATTCTCTTCCTCCTCCGCCCCGCATCCCCATCATTACTGTTCCACATCTTGGTCTCGATTCTCCGCAAAGAGGGCGAGAAGGTTCCGATCTGGGCAAGTTGCGGAACAACCCAGAACTCGGCCGCTACTCAGCGGCTCTGGATACTTTTTTCTGGCGCCACAAACTCCTTCCCGCGAATGACCGAGCCAGTCAGCGGCCGGAGTGCTTCTCGCTTCAGCCAATCGGTGTCCACGAATGCTGCTCTTGTTCCTGTCCTCTCTGCCCATGCTCCAGAAAACGCGCACTGAGTTTCCAGTTGACTCCAAAAGCCTCCGCGGCCATCTTTACAAAGGGCAAAACCCTCCGCGCAAGCGGAAGCAAAGAGTTGGTAGGGCGGTATCGCAAGAAATCAATCAATCAGAACAATACTGAAGCGCCTTGTTATCTCACCCTCGTCAAGTGCGCCGCTTCAACGTCACTTCCTTTGTTCAGCGTGCTCGGGTTCCCGGCAAACTATCACCAAAGGTGATAAAGGTTAAAGGTTGAGGCCTTAATCTAAACGCTATAGTGGAGTTTCGGCTTCGGTGTCTGCCACCCGCGGTCACGCGGGAATTGGGCACCTCTGGGACTCGAAGTGCTAGCCTCAAAGGACCGCGTGGAGTTGCTTATTCTTTAACATAGGGAGTCATATTTTCTTCGTGTAATGCCACCAGTGGTCCCCATTCTCCCCAGTGGGGCTGTGAGAAACCTCCGCCGCCCTCTTGCCCATGACAGACTTGTGAAAGATCTCAGGGTGGCACCCCTCGTCCCCCACCTGTCCCTATCCCTATCCCAGTCTCATCCAGGCTCTGCATCTCCAGTCGACTATTTTTTTTTTTTTTTTTGAGACGGAGTTTTGCTGTTGTTACCCAGGCTTGAGTGCAATGGGCTATCTCGGCTCACTGCAACTTCCGCCTCCTGGGTTCAGGCAATTCTTCTGCCTCAGCCTCCTGAGTAGCTGGGATTACAGGCATGCGCCACCATGCCCAGCTAATTTTTTTTTTTTTTTGTATTTTTAGTAGAGACGGGGTTTCACCATGTTGACCAGGATGGTCTCGATCTCTTGACCTCGTGATCCACCCGCCTCGGCCTCCCAAAGTGCTGGGATTACAGGCTTGAGCCACTGCACCTGGCCTCCAGTTGGCTATTTCAGCCATTTTTCATAATTCTTCATATAACATGCTGGTCTGTTTCTCCCATAGGGAGTGGAACATGTTTGTCAGTTCCTTTCTCTTAAGTATTACTGCATTGTTAGAATTATTGTTCATTTATTTACTTTTTAAAAAATTACGTCGGCTGCAGTGGCTCGTGCCTGTAATTCCAACACTTTGGGAGGCCCAAGCAGCGGGATCACCTGAGGTCAGAGTTCCAGACCAGCCTGGCCAACATGGCAAAACCCCATCTCTACTAAAAAAACAAAAAATTGGCCAAGTTTGGTGGCTCACGCCTGTAATCCCAGCACTTTGGGAGGCAGAGGTGGGTGGATCGCCAGGTCAGGAGCTCAAGAGCAGCCTGGCCAAGATGGTGAAACCCCTTCTATACTAAAAACACAAAAATATTAACTGGGCCTAGTGGTGTGCGCCTGTAATCCCAGCTACTTGGGAGGCAGAGGCAAGGAGAATCCATTGAACCTGGGAGGCAGAGGTTTGCAGTAAGCCGAGATCTCCATCTCAAAATAAATAAATGAAGGCCGGGCGTGGTGGCTCACGCCTATAATCCCAGCATTTTGGGAGGCCGAGGCAGGTAGATCACGAGGTCAAGAGATCGAGACCATCCTGGTCAACAAGGTGAAACCCTGTTTCTACTAAAAATACAAAAATTAGCTGGGCATGATGGTGCGTGCCTGTAGTCCCAGCTAGTTGGGAGGCTGCAGCAGGAGAATTGCTTGAACCCAGAAGGCGGAGGTTGCAGTGGGCCGAGATCGTGCCATTGCACTCCAGTCTGGGTAACAACAGTGAAACTCCGTCTCAAAATAAATGAATGAATGAATGAATGAATAAATAAATAAATAAATAAATAGCTGGGCTTGGTTGCATGCACCTGTAATCCCAGCTACTCAGGAGGCTGAGAATGACTTGAACATAGGAGGCAGAGATTGCAGTGAGGCGAGATCATGCCACTGCATTCCACCCTGAACGACAAATTGAGACTGTTTCAAACAAAAAGAAAAGAAAAGAAAAAATTAGCAAGCGCGGGACTCGCGAGTGTAATGTCAGCAATTTGGGAGTCTCAGGAGGGAAGATCACTTAAGGCAGGAGTTAGAAACCACCCTTGTTAAGATAGTGAGACCCTCCCCCTCTCAAAAAATAATTTTAAAAAATTAGCCGGGTATGGTGGCACCTGCCTGTAATCCCCGCTACTCACGGGGCTGAGGCAGGAGGATCGCTTCAGCCGAAGAGGTCCAAGCTGTAGTGAGACATGATGGCACCACTGCACTCCTGCCTGGGTGACAGAGGCATCCTTGACTCAAAAAAACCTCAGGCTCTTTGACTCCTTTTTCTTCTCCTCCTCCCCTTCCTCCTTATCCTTCTCCGCACCACCACAGCAGGGTAATTTATTTGTATTTATTTATTGTTTTATTTTTTGGGACAGAGTCTTGCTCTATTGCCCAGGCTGGAGTGCAGTGGTGTGATCCTGGCTCATTGCAATCTCTGCCTCTTATTTTTATGTTTTTTGCTTAATTTTCTTTTGTTTTGCTTTTTGAGACTGCGTCTCGCTCTGTCGCCCAGGCTGGAGTGCAGTGGCCTAGGCTGGAGTGTAGAAATGTGATCTCGGCTCCCTGCAACCTCCGCCTCCAGTTCAAGCAATTCGCCTGCCCCAGCCTCCCAGGTAGCTGGGATAACAGGCACGCACCACCATGGCTACAGTTTCTACTTTTAGTAGAGACCAGATTTCACCATGTTGCCCAGGCTGGTCTTAATTCCTGGCCTCAAACAATCCAACCCCGACTGGCCTTCCAAACCACTGGGATTACAGGTATGAGCCACTGTGCCAGGCCATTTTCTTTTTCTAGAACTGCAGGCACCATCTTAAGCATTTTACATTTATTAACTCAGTCTTGTGATGTATTTTGGTATTTTTATTGTCCCCATTTTACAGATGAGGCCATTGAGGCAGAGCGGCTAAGTGGTTGGAATCTGCATTCAAACTCAGAATGTCTGATTCCATCAACCAGTGTGGTTACTACACCTTCTAGAACACACTAGAATTGGTCACAAACTCAAATGACAAATAGAGTCAGGCAAGAAAGCTGTAGGTGTAGTGCTTTAACAGAGGATTTTTTTTTTTTTTTAAGTAGCTTCTTCACAGTAAGAAAAAGGCCTACACAAGCATAATAAATAGTAACTCAGGCGAGGAAGGTGGGCTCAGTGTTGCCAGGTCACCCAAGGTTTTTGTTTTTTTTTTTTCCTAGCAAATGCCAGAAACTTGATTTTTATGTGAAAGTTTCAGAATTTTAAGTGTTTATAAGTAACTTTAAAATTTTAAATACTCTATGTGCGCCACATGCTGCTTGCATGCCATGACTCTCCTATAAATCACTGAGAAATAGCATACAGCCAAAGGCAGAAGACTGAGGCACAGTAAGATGACATTATTATAGCAAGCCTAAAGCAACTGAAATATACACAGTCTGTCAAGAGAGATTTATGATATGTAAGATAAAATGTTTTAAATTAAGACTCTTCTGGGGAATAGAAGATGCACGTCGTCACGAATCCTACCCTAGGCTTGTTCCTGTCTTTGGCCACACTCCAGAAAACGCGCACTGTGCGCTCAGTGGCGTCTGAAGCCTCCGCGGCCATCTTTACGAGGGGCAAAACCTTTCGCGCAAGCGGAAGCAAGGTGCGGCAGGGCTGTATCGCAGGAAATCAACCAATCAGAACAATATTAACGCCGCACAGCGCTGTACCATCTTACTTTCGTCAAGAGAGCGACTTCTGACGTCACTTCCTTTGTTTGTTGTGCTTGGGTTCCTGCCAAACTATCGCGGATCAGACGACCCCTTAATCAAGAGCCTTTAATGGAGTTTCGGCCTCGGTATCCCTCACCTGCGGTCGCGCGGTAATTGCGCCTCTCAGGGACTCTCAGCGCTACCCTCACAGCGTCGTGTGGGGTGGCTTTTTTTCCCATAGGGAGCCAGATTCTCTTCATGTTATGCCACCCCTGTCCCAGTTCTGAGTCGGGATGTGAGAAACTTACGCACTCTTGGTCATGACAGACTTGTGAAAGATCTGAGAGTGGCATCCCTCGTCCCCGACCTGTCCCCACCGGTCTCATTCAGGCTCAGCATCTCAGTCATTTCGACCATTTTTCTTAATTCTTCATATACGTGCCGGTCTGTTCCTCCCAAAGGGAGTGGAACATGTTGTCAGTTCCTTGCTTGAAACGTTACTGCATTGTTAGAATTTTATGTACATTTATTTATTTATTCAAGAAGAATTAGGAGGTGCCCTGGCTCACACCTGTAAACCCAGCAAATGGAGTTTGAGGCCAGGAAGACTCCTTGAGGCCGGAAGTTTGAGACCAGCCTGGGCAATATAGTGAGAACCTCTTAAAAATATTTTTAAAAATTAGCCAGGTAATATTTTAAGATAAAAATATTTTTTAAAATTCGCCATTTTGCAAGTGGCTGGGGTTCCAGCCTCTGGAGTGGCTGAGGTGGATCACCTGTGCCTGGGGTGTCCAGGTTGCAGTGAGCTGTGATGCTGCCACTGCACTCCAGCCTGGGTGACAGAGAGAGACTGTGACTCAAAAAATATATATATATTGTTGATGCTTTCTTCCTGGCCCTGTGCTGGCTACTGGGATTCAATGGTAAGTAAGATAGACATGGCCCTTGGGCTCCTGGACTGTGTTTTTTCTTCTTTCTTGTTTTTTTTTTTTTTTTGGTGGCAGGGGATGGAGTCTCACTCTGTCGCCAGGCTGGAGTGCAGTGTCGTGATCTTGGCTCACTGCAACCTCTGTCTCCCTGGTTCAGGCCATTCAACGGCCGCAGCCTCCGAATAGCTGGGACTACAAGCGTGCACCACCAAGCCTGGGTAATTTTTGTATTTTAGTAGAGATGGGGTTTCACCATGTTGGTCAGGCTGGTCTCCAACTTCTGACTTCAAATGATTCTCCCGCCTTGGCCTTCCAAATCCTTGGCTGGGATTAAAGGCATGAGTCAAGGTGTTTGGCCACATTTTACATTTATTAACTCAGTCTTCGAGGTATGGTGGTATTGGTGAGACCAGCTCCCCATATATCAACGTGGATTCAAGACCTCTCAAAGTGAGCGAGTGGTCGGTGAAAAGGGAAAAAAAAAAGACAAACAGTTTTCTTTAAAGCTGGGCCCAGGTGAGACACCACGTAAACCTGCTCCGTGGACGTCTAACATTCCCCTGAAAACCTCGGTTCTTTATTAGGCTCTTTCAGCAGGAGAGGGGGAGTGAGGCTACACAACAGTGTGGAAATGATCATATAAAAAGAATACATTTGCAGAACTGGTGCACAAAAATCACAACGTGGTATTATAAAAGCAGAACAATGTAAAGATAACTTTCTGGATGTCAGCATAGAAACCATACACCTTAGCAAGAATAGAGGTTAAACATAAACTTAACCATCAGCAAGAAACGCATTGGGCTCACAGCTGCTGGAGGAACAGGATCTGACACAGGACAACCATCCTGACCACAAAGCTGCAAGAGGAGGGGCCTCCATGCAGGCCTGCAGGAGCAGTGGGAGAAGAAAGATGTTTACCTTCTTATCTCCACAGAGCTTTTTCCTCACGACAGATCCCCCTCATGCGTCTGTTCATAGGTTCTCCATAGAGTCACATTCCCTTTCCAGGGCCCTAATCAATATCCCTTTCCTGGGAAAGCAGTTTGGGTAGTAACACTCTTCATTACACGTCCATTTAATAACAAGAAGCTTATTACGTGCTGTCATCTTTCTCCGGCAGTCAAGCTGTGTGGTTTGTCCCTTTTGCAAAGTTCCTGTTTTTACAAGAACAGCTCAGCAAAGCCGAAGTTATGATTTACATCTCAGCATTTCACATTATTCTTCATTTTCTCAAATATAATCGACAGAGTAAGTAACAAGTATAACAAAGCAAATAAGTCATTTTGGGGAAACCAAATTCTGAGAGAATTTACAAGTTAAATAATCAACAACAATTTCTTCTTGTTATTTCAGATAGCTCGGGTTTTGCCAATTCTTCCAGAAGCCTGGGGTTGCTCAGTCACCACAGAGGCATCCACAGTGTTCCCAGCCTGGTGGTATGTTTATAGTCCTCGTTTTACAGATGAGGCCATTGAGGCAGAGAGCCTGAATGGTTAGAGTCTGCATTTAAACCCAGGAAGTCTGATTTCATCAACTAGTGTAGTTACTAAACCTACAACACACTAGAACTGGTCACAAACTCAAATGACAATCAAGGTGAGGTGAGAAAACTAGATATCATGGTTTGTTTAACAGAGGGGGGACTGTTTTTTTTTTTTTAATATTTTCTCCACAGTAAGAAAAAGACCCACACAAGCATAATGATATATAGTAACTGAGGTGAGAAGTGTGGGCTCAGCTTTGCCAGGTCATGTTAGGGATTTTTTGCTTTTGTTTTGTTCGTTTGTTGTTTAGCAGATACCATAAATCTCATTTTTTATGTGAAATTTTCAGAATTTTAAATGTTTATAAGTAAATTTAAGAATTTTTAAATACACTGTGTGGGACACACAAAAGATATCTGTGGGTCACATGTTGCTTGCATGAAATGACTCTTCTTGATAAATTCTGTAATTTCTCAAGCCTCCAAATCACTGAGAAATAACATACAGCCAAGGACAGAAGACTGAGGTTCACCAAGATGACATTATTATAGCAAGCCTAAGGCAACTGAAATATTCATAGTTTGTCAAGAGCATATTTATGATATATAGGATAAAATGTTTGAAATTAAGACTATTTGGGAAAATGAAGATGCAGGTTCATTGAGGTTAATGGGCCTCATTTGGGCTTCAGTTACTTATAAATTCAGCTGAGAAGATAATAAGATTTAAAAATCAACCAGAAAGAGCCAAGTGCAGTGGCACACCATGCAGTCCCAATTACTTGGGAGGCTGAGGCTGGAGGATCGCTTGAGTCCAGGAGTATGAGGCTGCTGTGTGCAATGATCTTGCCTGTGAATGGCCAATGCCCTCAGCCTGGACAATGGAGCAAAATCCTATCTCTTAAAAAAAAAATTAAAAAACAGAAAGGAAGTAAAATGTCTTAAAGTATAACCCAATGCCATCAAAATCAGATTTTTGCCTAGAATTTCTAGACCTGGATGATCTGATAAGTTAAATAGAGGAGTCAGTTCTCAATCAATGCTAAAGTAATTGGTATTTACTCTGTGTCTGTATGTGGTAGTAAACTCATCTCTTAATTTCGTTTTGTCAAGTTGAAGACTTCCTGTCACATAAAAAAGGAATTTCTGGGAAGTCTTCAACTTTCCGCTCCAGGTAGGTTGTGCACTTTATTCCCAGACCGGGGGCTGTCAGGAAAATTTAAAGCAAGACTGAGAAGAAGGGAAATCCTCTTTTTTTTTTTTTTTTTTTTTTTTTTTTTTGTGAGTCAGGCTCCAGGCTAGAGTGTAGTGGCATGATCACAGCTCACCGCAGCCTTGACTCAACCTCCCTGGTCTCAGGTGAACCTCCCACCTCAGCCTCTTACATAGCTGGGACAATAGCTGTGTGCCACCACACCCAGCTAATTTTTGTATTTTTTGTAGAAACAGGGTTTCACTGTGTTACCCAGGCTGATCTCAACCCCCTGAGCTCAAGTGAGCTGCCCAGCTTGACCTCCCAAAGTGCCAGGATTACAGGTGTGGTCCAGCTGAAATCATCCTTTAAAACCAATCTGGTGACACACCCGTTAGTGTTGCTGCTATCAAACCAAATAGAAAACAACAAGTGTTGGTGAGGATGTGGAAAATGCAGCCTTTGTGCACTGTTACTGGGAATGTAAAATAGCACAGAAACTATGGAAAACAGTGTAGGGGTTCCTCAAAAAACTACAAATAGAATTACCATATAACCCAGCAATTCTACTTCTGTGTCTCTACCCAAAATAATTGAAAAGGAGGACTCAGAAATATTTGAACACTTGCATGCATAGCTGCATTATTTATGATACCCAAAGGTGGAAGTAACCCGAGTGTCCATTGACAGATAAAAAGATAAACAAAATGTGGTATATACAGTGGAATAATACTCAGCCTTAAAAAGGAAGGAAATTCTGAGACATATTACAAAGTGGAGAACCTTAAAAACTGCAAAGTTAAATAAGACAGTCACAAAAGAACAAATATTATCTGATTTCACTTATATGTGGTGCCTCGAGTAGTCTAATTCATATGCACAGAAAGTCAAAGGGATACAAATATTAACTGGGCATGGTGGTGCACCCTTGTACTCTCAGCTACTTGGGAGACCTGAGGCGGGAAGATGGCTTGAGCCTGGGAGGTGGAGAGATCATGCCACTGCACTGCAGCCTGGGTGACAGAGCCAGACCCTGTCTCAAAAAAAAAAAAAAAAGTCAAATGGTGGTGGAGGGCAATGTTAGTATTTAATGAGTACAGAATTTCAGTTTGGGAAGATGGAAAAGTCCCAGAGGTGGTGGTGATGTGGTAACGGTTCTACAACAACATGAATATATTTAATGCTACTGAACTGTACACCTAAAATGGTTAAAGTGCTAAATATTATGTCATATATATATATAAAACCACAGTTAAAAACATTATTATTATTATTTTTTGTTCTTTTCACTATCCACCTGGAGATAAAACACGTTATTTTTTTAAAGACAGGAAAAATAATCCAATCCACTCCTTGTTGAATACGTATCACCTGCCAAGTACATGCATTATTTACTCTGCTAACTGTTTAATATATGTCTCAATGTTTTGGACCTGCCATTTTAACCTCTAATGTCATTTGCCTCCATTTCATAAATATACATATTTTATTTTTAAATATACATATTTTAATCAGATCTAACCCAATATTGGTGAATTTACATTTATACTTAATTCTCTGTTTAACATTTTGTACAGTTTAAGTTGCCAATTTCCAATTTTTGCCATTTTAATTCCGTGGAAATCAGTTTTGTGGAGTATTTCCTAGGCAAAGTTTACAAGGAGGATTTAGTTCATCAATAAAAACTAGATCCCTATCAAATTTTACAGAGTTTTCATATCTGCTACTGTCACTTTATGAGTGCTCCTTATTTGTATTAAGTATAATTTGATTTGGATTTTTTTTTTAATATGGAGTCTTGCTCTGTCGCCCAGGCTGGAGTACAGTGGCGCGATCTCTGCTCACTGCAACCTCTGCCTCCTGGGTCAAGGCAGTTCTGCTTCAGCCTCCTGAGTAGGTGGGACTACAGGCACATACCACACCTGGCTAATATTTTGTATTTTTAAAATTAGAGATGGGGTTTCACTGTGTTAGCCAGGATGGTCTTGATCTCCTGACCTTGTGATCTGCCCACCTTGGCCTCCCAAGGTGCTGGGATTACAGGTGTGAGCCACTGCTCCCGGCCAATTTTTTTTTTTTTTTTTGACATGGAGTCTTGCTCTGTCGAGCTCAGGCTGGAGTGCAGTGGCTTGATCCTGGCTCACTTCAACCTCGGCCTCCTAGGTATAAGCAATTGTGCTGCCCCAGTCTCCCAAGTAGCTAGGATTACAGGAGCCCACCACCAGGCATTGCTAATTTTCTGTATTTTTAGTAGAGACGGGGTTTCACCATATTGGCCAGTCTCAAACTCCCAACCTCAGGTGATCCTCCCAAAGTGCTGGGATTATAGGCACGACCCACCGCACCTGGACTGGGGTGATTTTTAAAATAGTTTTCAATGTTAAACACATGATTTTCCAAAAATTTTTTTAGTCTAAGATAATTTTACTCAATAGAATTTTAGCTGTTTTCAGTTTTAAATTGTACTGATTATTTCTACCAGTAATAATCATTATGAATGGATAATACTGACAGAATTACTTTTAATATCAGAGAGGCTTTTCTATGTGAAGCAGAACATTTCATTCACAACCATTTTGTTCCTCAGTATATGTAAGGAATCAGTCCAGGACCCCTAGTATACCAAAATCTGCCTATACTTAAGTCCCACAGTTGGCCCTGTGGAACCTGCTAATATGTGAAGTCAGCCCTGCTATATTGGGTTTTGTGTCCCGAGAATACTATTTTCAATCTGTGATTGGTTGAAAAATATCTGTGTAAGTGGGCTGGGCACAGTGGCTCACACCTGTAATCCCAGCACTTTGGGAGGCCAAGGCTGGCGGATCACTTGAGGTCAGGAGTTCAAAACCAACCTGGCCAACATGGTGAAACCCTGTCTCTAGGAAAAATACAAAAAAAGTAGCCAGGCATGGTGGTGGGCACCTGTAATTCCAGCTACTCTGGAGGCTGAGCAGGAGAATACCTTGAACCCAGGAGGCAGAGGTTGTAGTGAGCGAGATCTCAAAGCATGGATCCTTGCTTTATTTATTTTGTTATCCTCCTAAGGTTTCCGTACCATTATTTGTTTATTTATTTAGAGACAGAGTATCACTCAGTTGCCCAGGCTGGAGTGCAGTGATATAATCTCAGTTCACTGCAACCTCAACCTCCCAGTCTCAAGCTGTCCTCCCACCTCAGCCTCCCAAGTAGTTAGGACAACAGGTGCAAGCCACCAGGCTCAACTAATTTTTATATTTTTTTGTAGAGACAGGATTTCACTATGTTGCCCAGGCTGGTCTGGAACTTCTGGGCTCAAGCAATCCACCCACCTTGGCCTCCCAAAGGGCTGGAATTACAGGCATGAGCATCACACCCAGGTGAATTTACTTATTTATTTAGAGATGGAGTCTGGCTCTGTCACCCAGGCTGGAGTGCAGTGGCATGATCTCGACTCACTGCAACCTCCACTTCCCAGGTTTGAGCAATTCTCCTGCCTCAGCCTTCTGAGTAGCTGGGATTACAGGCGGCTAATTTTTGTATTTTTAGTAGAGATGGAGTTTCACTGGCCGGGTGCGGTGGCTCAAGCCTGTAATCCCAACACTTTGGGAGGCCGAGGCGGGCGGATCACTAGGTCAGGAGATCAAGACCATCCTGGCCAACATGGTGAAACCCCGTCTCTAAAAAATAAAATAGATGGAGTTTCACCATGTTGGCCAGGATGGTCTTCTTAAACTCCTGCGTGAACCACCTCGAGTGGCTGAAAATTTTTTAAGGTTAGATGT